TATACCTTTTTTATTTAGAATTGAACGTGGTTCAACAATTTCTAGTTAAAAAATTCAAAATTGTAAAATATAAGAAGTTAGACATATTTTTACATTGACAGGACAGTACAACCAGCGCCCCCTAGACGTGACCCCAACACTATTTGCATATTCGTATTTGCCTCCTCAAAAAAAGGTAAAACTACAAATTTTCAAAACAATCGTCCATACATACTTAAAACATAGATAAAAAAAGAAAATATTCTTTCAACTTTAACACCCTGTAGAACGAAAATGAGCAACAATTGATTAAGGCATGTTTGGCTCAATCGCTATATTTTGACGTTAACAATCTGCCATTAAGCTGTGTACCATTATTAATGATTCACCCTGTATATTTTGAATTTATTTTTATTCTATTTTAAAAGTAAACTGTATACTTACGTGTATATTTTTTATTCAATTATTTTTCCTATCTTTGGACGTGTTTAAACATTTCTGTGCATTTAGCACGAATGGAAATAAACAGAAAAATGAATAAATAAAGTGTCTATTTGTGTCACTTTTCGAAAAATGAATTTCTCATGATTACTCTTGCTTTCCGCTGTACGTTTGCTACGCCCATGGAGATCTTCTCCACTAAAGTTCATAAGTGAAATTTATCCTGCTGAGAGAGACGATTTAATATGCAACACCGTCTAGATAGCTCTACTGGTAAATTGCTCGTGCAAATTGCGGTGAACGGTGCCCCAGTTATAAAACGACTGCGGCACAGTCGAAATTGCGACGATACCGTAGACGGTCTTCCTTGCAGACAGCTTATTTTGGCAAGTTAAGTTCAAGGTTACACGTACAAACTTTCCTGTTTGGAAAAAAAATGTTAATGTCAAGGCGCGATGTGGTAACGCTATAAAAATAATAATGCGCTTGAAAGAAATATCAAATGTTAAAATATGCATTAGTAAGATTCTCGAGATTCTTGCAAAAAGTTTCCGACATTTATTGCGAGACATTTACAGCACTTGCACCATGCACAAACTCACCCTCATCTCTGGAAACTGTCCCTGGTACGTGTTCAATGGAAGTAGAACTTGGTCCGCCAGTTTGTGGGTGAAGTCTTGCCAGAGCATGTCCACGGATTGGAGCTGGCCGTAGAGGTGGTCGTGGCCCGTCCACTGACTTTCGTATATCTCGCCGATGGCCTCTAGGAGGGTTTTTGACGCCGCCTGGGCAGCTAAAAGAAAAACAAATGTCATTCTCTGAAAATCTTTAAAAATATGGCATCCAATAATATGCCCCAATATTCTAGAATACCGCAAGGACCTGTTTTAGGACCTCTCACAAGGGAAAATTCACATTAAGTATATTTTAACCGTCATTGTTAAATGGTTTGGTAAAATTTATAAAACAAAAATTCCAAGTAACATATTTTAAAGATAATCCCCTACAATTACTACTATAATAATAGTCCGGGCGACTTAGGTTTTTTATTCAAAATTGGGTCTAACTCAAATTTTATGGGCTTAAAATTAAGTAAAAAATACACGGAATAAAAGCCTAAATTTGTGTATTTGTAGAGGTCGAGTGTCATATTGCTTATAACAAAAGAAAAAAAAATTGCTCTTCTTTCAATTTTTCACATATATCTCCGAAATTAAGCGCCTCTAATCGACATGATTTTGTTTCTGAGGAAATTTGCTACAAGGATAGGCTTTTGCGAAAGCTCGCAAATTTGCGGTGAAGAAAAAAAATGTGCAAAATTTTCAGCAATAAACAAAAATAACGAATTTGACTGAAATTTGATGATCCTACAGGAAAACATAACTGTTGGGGTGCCCAACAAACACCCGTAATCCAGACTCCCAATTTCAAAATGGCGGCCTACTGTGCAAAATTATACAGTCCAAAATACGAGCGCGTATATCTTCTGCCCAAGTGGAGATATCGAAATTCGGCAAAAAATGATCGAAAGGTAATTACACTGTCTCTCGTTTACGTAAATTTTAGATTTTTAAGTAGCAAAATAAAAAAGTTATTAACAAAAAACCAAAAACAACGGTAACTAGGGTCCTTATCTCGGCGGTTTTTTAATATACAGATTTCAGACCAATTACATCAAATAGTGCTTAAAAACATGAATGTTTATTTTAAAGCGTCTCGATCCGACCCATAGGAGCTGAGAAAATTTTTTTCTTAAAAACGGTATTCTGGTTGTTCTATTTAACATTTTGTAATAAACTTGGGAACACTTCCTTTATACGCTGAATCTTTTTTTAATGGATTCGACACGCGGCTGAGCTGTAGCCAGAAGAGGGGAGCGCTGTGACGTCATATTGCCCATGTTGCGCTCACCTTCTCAAAATTCTTACTTAACAAATGGATTATGGCACTTAGATAGCAGCTACCGGGATACTTTTTTTTTAAATCAACTTATTTTTTTCCGCTCTTTCGAATGGTGTAAGCAAAAGTCTATGAAAGTCATCGCCAGACCCCGAAAAATACATTTCTATTGACTTTTCACGTTTTCTTTTGTAATTTCATTATGCTTTTGATATTTTGAAAGTAATAATGTCTTTTTACGTATTTAAAAACAAAAGTCAATTATTTAATTGAAAAAAAAAAAATGATCAGGATTCTATTGACCGTGCTCAGAAGAGGTCGGCGTATAAAATATTGTTTTAAAATTAACTGTTACAGTTATTGCGTAAATTGTGTCTAGAATATTATTGAATGTTATAATATTCGCATTTTATAATTTTAAACCCATAAAATTGGAGTTAGTTTCGATTTTTGAAACAGGCATGTGTTTGGTCTAATTCGTCCAGATTATAATACAAGTGATATGGTATTAATTATGTATTATTACTAGTGGTATCAACGCAAGTTTTATTCTTCTAATGACCTTAATCCAAGAGAAAGATTAGTACCGCGCAAGCAGAAAAATACAAATATCTGCATTTCTTGAAATTCTACGCTAACCAGTTTACCTACCATGTAATTGGTACGAACAAGAGTACGTACAGTGAAAATCAAAGTAGGTAATGGATATGTGCTAACGCAGCGCCAACTTCCTGGATAAAATTACACGTATTCTTACTTAGGAACTGTCATTTCCCGTTTGGAAAAAGTAGGTGAATAGATTGTAACTAAATTTAGGAGCACTTACACATATGTTACTATCAATTTAACACCTCATTTGACAAAATATATAATTTATAAGCCATATGTTTCGAATGGTTAAAATATAGATAGCAAAAAGTTCATCATGATACTTGTAGAGAGCCTTAAATGATTTATTTTCTGCGCGGTGGCAATTAAATTTCGGTAAAATTAAAACAATAAGATCAACATTACATTAAAATACAATATTTCGTTTTACGCGTCGGTGATTTTTCATGACATTTCATTCAACCAATCGTCGATGAAATTATAACAAAATGGGATAACTGCACTATTGCAAAAGCAACAATTCAATCTTTGGTAGAATTTAATGATAATTGACTGATTAGACAACGATTATGACCAGCCAGATCTAACTCGTTTAGGTTATTTTTGTTTGGATATCTGAATACTATTTTTAAAACGGCAATTATTCGAGAAGTTAACAATATAGTAAAACGACGACAGCTGCAAAATGTGTATGAAAATATGAATAGGAAAATAAATTTTGCATTGCTAGTGAAGGACATCATTTTGAACATAATATGTAAAATGCTTCTATGCGAAAATAGCTTGAGTTTGAATTTATTTTATAATGCATCGAAGTAATGTTATTTATTAAAGCAATGAATTGTAAATTAATATAACTTTGTTAAACTATTTTATCTATAAGAAAAAATAAGCTATCTCTATTTATTTTATTCTATAATAAATTAAACAAATAGAATAAACTGTTATGGGTTTATATTATGTTCATTTTGTTTTTATAGTAAACATTTTTTGTTCATTAGCGAGTGAAGTTTGATAGTTTTCTCCTATTAAAAAATGGTAACAAATATGTAAACGAAAAAAACAGAATATTTTTCGTACTAAATTGCATGTATTAAGTCTAACATCAACGTGAGAGACAAAAGAGTAACTTTAAACAAAACACTATTTACATTAATTGCTATTATGACGCAACTCATCCAAATGTCTTAAAGAGAAAAGGCCTGCTATGCAATTTTTAATCAGGTTACGGTAGGTAAGCGCAGTAATAAACATAAATTATCTTTGAATGGGATCGTAAACGTAATAGTATCGCTGGCAAAACACTAAACAAATTAGTGTAATGATTTATTTTAGATATTATATTTCGTAACTTAAGTATAAGTAAGCAGTAAGAATTATTTCGCCTTAAAGAAACCTATCAAAGCCAGATGAACTTAAGGGGATTACTTTAGACTAATGAAGAGTCATTTGTTTGACAGCTTGTCCACATGAATTAAGACCAATTGATTATTTGGCAACAGCTAAAGTCCAGGAATACAGGGTGTCTCACTGTGACTACCCATTAGAATTATTTCAGACTACTTCGATTTGAATTTTGAAAATTTCGGATACCGGATTTTTGGGGCATGCCCTTCTCAACTAAAATAATGGCGTTCACGTACCACTTCCGATTATACTGGAAGTCGCCATCAACTTGCTTATTTTAAATGGAACACCCAATATATTATAACAATTTTGGATTATACGTGTTATTTTAGGTAGACTTTTATGAAGTTTCCCTATTCCTAAAATTAACCGTTTTCGAGATATTTAATTTTTTTCAAAAAAATGGAAACAGTTACTAGCTTCAAACCATGTGTATTTTATAGTATATAATCACCTAAAATCATGTAATTTCTTGCGAGGACATCTGTGGAATTTTTAGCAAAACTTCAAAACAAACAAACTAAATTGTCACCAGTTATTTATTATTATTTATTCACAGACGTTGCAATGAGATCCTAAACGGAACATTTACAGTTTTTAATGAGACATACCCAATTTTCCACCAATGAGCAGAATAAAGTTAAGAAGAATTCTAAAAAATCAACTTCATACATAGTAATACACAATTTTAATTATGTATGTTGATAATATAATGTACTACGATAAAAAAATGACTTAAAAAAGTCATAAATGTTCAATATGGCCCCCATTAACAGCTAAGCACTTGTGGATTCTAGAGATAACACCATCAGTCACCACATTTGCTATTTCAGCTGCGGGCAATTCATGGAACGCTCTTCGTATTCGAGCAATCAAATCCTCTTTTGAAGCAACGGGTGTAGAATAAACTTTTTGCTTTATTACTCCCCAAACAAAAATCTAATAGAGTGAGGTCGGGAGACCTCACTGACCAATTCCACGGTCCTAAGCGTCTCACACATCTACCTTCAAACATTTCAGTCAGCTGTTGATCGATTTGATTGTGACAGTGAGGTGGAGCCCCGTCTAATAGAAACCAACACTTCCTTAGTTGTTCTAAAGGTAGATCATCTAGAAAATCTGCCACAACCATTTGCAAAATATTGAGATATCTGTCGGCATTTAAATTTTCTTCGTAGATATGGTAAGAAATTTGGTTATCTTTAATTAGACAAAAAAACATTTACGCAAATGTTACTTTGAAAGTTTCTTTCCCGGATAACATGAGGATTTTCAGATGACCACAAATGAGTATTATGTCTATTTAAAAATACTTTCTCTCGTAAATTTTGACTCGTCTGCCCATATAATATGTTGCAAAAATTGTGGATCTTCTTGGTATCGCACTAACATCGTTTCACAAAATTGTACACGTTGCACGGCGTCACCCGAATGAAGAGCAGAAAGTAGCTTAAATTTGTATGGATGTATATCATTAGTTCTTAGCATCCTGTGAAATACCTAAATCATACTCTGCGGCACGAGTTGAGGATTCTGGATGAACATTGAAATAGGCTAGCACATTTATTACATTATCTTCATTTGAAGTTATTGGTATTGGTAAAATTCTTTCTGCATAAATTCGACCATACTCTAGTTGATTTGCTAAAATTCTTCTTAACTTTTTTCTGCTCATTGGTGGCAAATTTGGATATGTCTCATTAAAAACTGTACGTGTTCTGCTTATAATCCCATTACAACGTCCGTGAATGAATAATAAATTTAAAATATCTCCATCTGAATATGTATTGTTTTCCATTTCTTATAAACACTAAATTAAACTCTCACTGCAAGAGACTAACAACAAATTGACAGTTTAGTTATTTGTTTTGAAGTTTTGTTAAAAATTCCACAGCTACCCTCGCAAGAAATTACATAATTTTAGGTGGTTACACAAAAAATAGTAGATAACTTAAAAACTAGAAGAGATAGGTATAGGGAACCCTGATATCGTTCGAAAGAGAATAAAATTGTGTATCAGAATAAAGAAAAGCATAACTCGGCTTTAAATTTCTAGCACCCTGCATGCAATTAAGCTACTTAGAAAGTGTGGATGGAAAGCTTAGGGGTCTAGCTATCCTACCTATAAATATTGTTGCTTTGTCTTTCTTACTATAAAATACACATGGTTTGAAGGTAGTCACTATTTCTCTCCATTTTTTGAAAAAATTAAATATCTCGAAAACGGTTAATTTTAGGAATAGGGAAAAAGTCCACGTAAAATAACACGTAGAATCCAAAATTGCAATAATATATAGGGTGTTCCATTTGAAATAAGCAAGTCGATGGCGATTTCCGGTATAACGCCATTATTTTAGTTGAGAAGGGCATACCCGAAAACCCGGTTTCTCAAATTTTCAAAATTCAAATCGAAGTAGTCTCTGAAATAATTCTAATGGGTCGTCACCGTGAGACACCCTGTATATATAACAAAACACCCTTACTTTTGGCCACAGAATACGCCTCTGAATTTTTGACCTGTACTTAAGAAACACTCTGTATACACTGTGTTTTATTAAAATAAATAAGTAAGAGAATATTTAATTTCAATATTAACCGTCGACGACATTACAAATAAAAGACCTTACCTCTTATACACCTAATATAATTGCTAAATTCTTTCTGAAGTTTATTTGCTGCGTTCTGCTGCTTTGTGTAGTTCTGCAGGTGCTCATCGAAAATATCGTCCGCTGTTCGATCGACTTTCCCCAAATTTTGTAGTAACTGAAAAAAGAGGAAAAATATAACGACAAGAAACGCTAAGAATCGTAATATTTTTTATTGTTTCTTAAAATAAATGAAATAGATATCTATATATGACAATAAATCATCTAGAATTTCATAGAAAAACGATGAATACTTGGTACCATAAAACAATTATTGTAATTATTATTGTATTTGCTGACGTTTCGAACTGTATTAATTTATGGGTTATTTTCGATCGTAACTGTATAAAACAGTTTTTAATAGCTTTATTTTTAATAAGTTCTGAGATAAATTTATGTTCAATAAATTAAATCCTACTGAGATCAACAAGGCTCCCATAAATTAAAAAATACATGAGACGTCGGCATTCTAGTAATCAACATTTATGTTACGTCTACAAAATAACATCGTCATCGAGGATATTGTTCAGCGTTTTGTTATCCCTTTTGATAAAAATATAGTTTTAATAATACACGTTTGTATCTTTTATTGCAAAGCTGTTAGTTAACTGGCATCATAGGAGACCTGTTAGCATTTAAAATATATACTTAAAAATGAATAGATAATGAATGTTTAATTGTGAGAAATTTTCCCACAAATTATATTATTTTAGATCTATTAAACGTTTATATTAAACTTACGGTGGTTATTACAAAAAATTATTGGGAGGAGACATGTAATTTTTGTAAAAATCGTTTATCTCTACCATATGCATGTTACTCGTTACTCGAAGAAGAAGATACATACGAAGCATTGAAACGTGTATTTTTTCATATAACTACATTTACTTTATGAATCTATTAAACTAAGATGCCTATTAAACAATGAACCTTGTAATAATAATAATATTTTATATATTCATTAAATAATAATGCTCTGCAATGAACGGTTGTAAAAATTGAAACCTTTTATCCCACATCCTGTACTTGCTACCGATTATCTGCGAAACTTAAACAAACACAATTTATTATGATTATAAACAATATTATCTTTATTACATATTTACTTTCATTGTTATACGCACAACGTATCTAAATGCCATTTGTCAAAGTCCTAAATATTCTGGTAATATCCATAAATGACAGGTTAACGAGTGTCAAAATACATTCAAAACGCAATGATAATCATCATAAATTCATGTTTGAAAACATTTAACCTCGAAAGAAATTGAAATCTTATATCCATGTGCAAATATTATAGCAACGATTTAAATAATGTACCAATGCGTATACTAATCTATATGTGACGCGACAAAAAATCATATGTGGGTACCACACTTCAGCAATTTGTTAATTATGTTTCAAAACTATTCAACCTAAAGCTGTTAGTCAATCACACAATAAATAAACTTACGTTTCACTTACTTTCTATGTTAAAGAAGTAGAACAACATATTTTTATTTACTAATGGCAATTACACACGTAAAGACAGATCGTAGCGATTTAAATATGCAAATAGCAACAATTTATTCCCCATCTACTGATTTATTTTGTACGAGTCAAACTACAAACCACAGAATCATAGAAAAATCTTTTTAGTGGTAATACTGTCAGAAACGAAAAACTACAAAATTAATTTTGTACAACACAGTTAATAAATAGTGTTTTATAATCTGTGAATTCCAATATCTGATATTATTATATTCAATTCCTAGAACTCGGGTAACTTCTATAATGTCGGATAATTTGCACGAGAAATAAAAAAAAAGTCAGTATGACATACACTGTATAAACAGGGTCCTTAAAGAGGATAGGGTGCTGCATCGGGGGTAAGTATTATTGAGATACTTGCTTGTAAATATGGAATAAAATCGAGTTTAAAATACTTATAATTATATAATTCCATCTTTCAATTATTATTTTTTAACCAATATGCATAAATAAATGCCACGAGTTGCATCAGAAACTTGGAAACAGTTCACGAGTATGCTGAGTTTATTATTTGTAAGTTGGCAGTCCTTGTCATGTATATAGGTATACGCGCCATTATTCTATGGCTAGAAATTGGCCTCAATGGCCCTCTTTATCCTGCCTCATCTCGTGTAGGCCTGGACAGCCTTCGTAAGGGGCCGGTGTAGGGCTTTGTGGGACCTCCTTTTGTCCTGGCTGGGCCCCGCCGGCTAGGGCCCTTTCTTCTGGCGCTCTTCTTGCTTATATAGGTATACTATGCTATGTGATCGCTCACACAGCTGGTTACTTTAACCTATATGGATGAAGAATAGAGTCGGTAGAAAGGAAAATTTGTGACCAAAAGATGAGATGGGTGATTAAGAATTAGAACAGAAAATAGGAAATGCCGGAAAAAATCTATTGAAGAGAAGATTTTGGAGCCAGAACAACCGCACAACGTTCTAGGGCATCAACTAATCGACATTAAGTACATGGCACAAAGCATGCAATGCCCCTTTAGCAAAGAACTTTACTGTGCGTGGAAAAGTTTAAATATAATTTAGTTACATGCATAAGTAGCATACTACTATGATGCACTTCTGTGAATACAAATGTTCCTTATAAGACAAGGGTTTAAAGCCATTGCATTTATGAAAGTATAATACAATTTGATATATGTAGTATTATACTGTGATACGATGTTATTGCAGCCAAAAATATTCTAAAAAATATTCTGAAATTACATATTGAAATGTTAATTTTAAAATTAAAAATAATAAATGTCATAATTTATCAGAATGCATAAGATTGTTATATGCACTATGATGCAAAGTATAAATATTTCATTGTTTATATGCAACTGTCAAAAAAACATACTTCTTTTGAAAATTTCCCATTTTATTTTATTATTGTAAATTAAATTAGACAAATTGATTGAACAGGAAGATTTGTTTTAAAACGGATATTTTAGATATTCGTATGTTCTCTTTTTTTAGAAACGTAAAGTTGATTCGAAAAATTTTTATGTGTTTTTGAAGTTTTTTCCATGTATGGGGACATATCTTCAAATTATTATTATAACCTAACCTAACCACAGAGGGTTTTACTTTAGTGGTCTAACCTAACCTAAGATATGGAATGTAACACAATGCCTCAAAATATTTACAAATAAACCTGAATTTCAGGTTAAAGCACATTAGAACTTCTAGAAGCCACTTATTTTTTTGGTTTTCTGTGCCCATGCGTAGAAGTAATACACAAATTAGTTTCTGCATTCTACTAAACTATGACTATAAATAATAGATATTATAGTAGTGCTAACCTCGCACCTGCAGTTAAAGTTTTTTAGACAGACGTTTGTTTGTATTTTGAAGTTTATTGCAGGTTGTGACATGGGCGCAGCTGGGATTTTTGCTTGGGGTGGGACCAAAGCTGCAAGCTTTATGGAGACCTCTAAAAAAACTCACTGTTTGGTTTGACTGGATCATGGAGAATCCACTAATAATAATGCAATTTTTTAAACTTGCAGCATGCAGCAACAATTAGGGGGAGGCCGTGCCCCCTCTGCTCCTCTGGCTACGCCTATGGTTGTGACAATGATATGACACATGACACTTTAATTGATATTTAAATGAACAAAGACACAACAAAAATAAACAGACAGAAAAGAGACAAACAATAAGAGAAGCTGAAAAATTTGACGTAAAAAAACGGAGAAAAAATCATTTTTCAATTGACCAGACAGGCTTGACCAAAGCAGTTGCTGAAAATACGTAATCTTCGATTAATAATGACATCTAATTCTTCACTGTACGTAATTAGGAACTAGAGAACATTTATAAGCACATCCTGGGTCTTGTATGCATTTTTTTACCGCCTATCATGTATGCAAGATACCTACATATATCTCTACACATCTCAGTCTTTAATAATTTCCTCTGAAGTTTCGGACAAATTAATGAGGCATACATTCAGTCCATCGCAGATAAGTCTCGGTATCATCCGTTATAAATAAAAGAAATCGACGTTCGGTGACGCAACTCTAATAAAACATGACGGCGGTTCCGCTGTATAGATTCAGAGAAAGTCCATTGTATGATGGCGTATTCCATGGTAGTGGATGTGCCACGCGGAGTATCGGCTATTATTATGATTAGTTGCATGTTGTTGGTTTTCGCAGATGAGACCGCGGATAAGATCGCTATCTGCAGCGTAGGGGAGATGAGGGCAATTACTTATGCAAAACATTTCGCTCCTGGGTGGAAATCTAACAATTCCTGGCTTTTTTAATTTTGAATAGAACGACGCATTGATTTAAGCGTAAATAAATAGAAAAAATATAAGAATAAACGAAAATAAAACTTATTTTAACATTTTCAGAAAAAAAACACTTACTCAAGGTGCCCTTCTTGTACTTCTACTTCTAGTGGTTGATCCTAATAAGTCCCATAGCACTGCGGCCTAATTAGGCCTATTGTGCGTCCCACTACTAGTCCTATTCAGCAAGTAGATTTGTCCTTTTTACAAAGTCCAAAAGCTTCCTTGCTGACACTTCTCTCAGTTCCTTGGGTTCCAAATAGGGTCTCCCAAGGAGCGCCATTCTGCTACGTGCAAATCCCGGGCACTCGCCCAGGATATGCAGAGAAGTTTCATCCGCCGATTCACATCCTCGGCAGACCGGACTGTCTACAAGCTTTAGCTTATGTAGATGTTTCCTAAAGTGACAGTGTCCCGTTATGAGTCCTGTCACTCTCCTGAGCCGGATTCTATTCAAGCTCAGTAGCTCATTCGCTCTTCCCTTCGAAGGATACTCCATAAGCTCCTTAGAATGGCTATGTCCTGGCCTTGAAGTCCAGTATTTCCTGTGTTCTGTCTCAGTCCATTTGCCCAGAGCCCGCCTGACCACACTGGGAGATGTGCCACAGAAGGGCTCCGGGCCAATGAACTCTGTTTCGGATCCCTTCCTAGCAAGTTCATCCGCTTTCTTATTTCCACAAATGCCTTTATGCCCTGGCACCCAACAAAGTCTGACTGTATTGTTGGTGGCCAGTTCAGTTAGCATTTGTTAACAATACCACACCAGTTTTGAACTTATCTTGTGTGCGCCCAAAGCTTTAATTGCAGCTTGAC